TCATGAATGAAATGAGTAGAAGAAAAGAAAGAATCACTTTGAACAGGAAAGTGAAAGGGAAATACATGTTCATGAAAAATAACATCCCTATTGACAAAAAAATTCTTAGAGGTAAGATCAAACAAGAGATAGCCTTTTTGAGTGTTTGAGTATCCCATAAAAACAAAAGGCAAAGCTCTAGGAGCAAACTTATCAGTTTGTTTAGGAACAGTAGCATAACATAAACAACAAAAAACTTTCAGAATAGACATATCAGGAGGTTTGTGATAAAGAATTTCATAAGGTGTTTGCCATTGTAAAACAGAAGAAGGGAGTCTGTTTATAAGGAAACAAGCTGTCAAGACACATTCACCCCAGAATTTAATAGGCACTTTTGAATGAAAACGTAAAGCCCTAGCTACTTCTAAAAGATGTCTATGTTTTCTTTCTGCAACTTCATTTTGCTGTGGAGTTTGAACACAAGAACTTTGATGCAAAATACCAAGAGAAGAAAAAAAGGAGAGCAATAAGAATTGAAAAATTCTGTACCATTGTCACTTCTAATTATTTTAGTAACAGAAGCAAATTGAGTGGAGGTAAATGAGAGAAACTGTTTGAGAAACAAAACAACATCATTTTTAAGCCTCAAGAGATAGACCCAAGTCATTCTAGTGCAATCATCAACAATAGTCAAGAAAAACCTATGACCACTATGAGTAGATATCCTATAAGGACCCCATAAATCTATATGAATTAATTCAAAAGGTTTTGATGACCTAGTAGTACTGAGAGGAAATGGTAATCTGGTCTGTTTTGATAAAGTACACACACTGCAAGTATGAATAAACTTTATATCAAATTTATCAGAAACATAAGAGGACAATTTTTTCATAGCAGAAGCAGATGCATGCCCAAATCTAGCATGCCAAAGACTAGTTTTATTGAAAGCAGAAATAGTAGGTACATGATGAACACAAGAATTAACCCCAGAACCAATCAAAGAATTAGAAATCAAACCAGTAGCTCCTTTAGTAGACTCAACAATATAAAGGCCATTAAGCTTTCTACCAATCCCCTTGATCATGCCACTGTAAAGATCCTGCAAGATACAAATGTCAGGATGAAAGGAAAAAATACAGGCATGATCTTTGACAAGCTGAGAAACAGAAAGTAAGTTGTGAGCAAAACTGGGAACAAACAAAACATTAGACAAAACCAGATCAGATGTTAACCTATGAGGCCTTATATGAGACACAAGTTCAATTTGACCATTAGGAAGATGAACATAACGATGGGAAGAACATAAAATTGGAAATTACAAACCCTTGAAATTAGACAAAATGTGGTCAGTAGCATCAGTATCAACTATCCAATGAACGCAAGCACTACTGGAAGTAGGTAAATTACAGGCAACAATACCTGCAAGATTCACACTGGAATCTACGGCGGAGCTTTTGTTCAATAGATGCAAAATCTGATTGTATTGCTCAGAAGTAAAGGTGGGAACAGCTGATACAGGAGAGGAAACCGTCGAAGCATTCTCAGACTCTCCATCCACAGTATGTACAGAATTATCTGTCATAGAAACTGGAGGAGGCTTCTTTCTGTTGAACTTGAAGTCTGGTGGAAAACAGATGAGTCGATAACATCGATCACATCTGTGTCCCTTGATCTTACAGTATTCGCACGTCCCATTGAAACGCCTTCGTTCATTCCCTTTGGAAGTGGTCGTGAACATAACAGAAGTTTCAAGAGGTGTAGCAGACAGCTGAATTCGATGTAATTCCTCTTGAGTTATCATGGAATATGCCTGATTGACGGTTGGAAGAGGCTTCATGATAAGGATCTGACTCCGAATCGCAGAGTAGGTCTCATTGAGGCCCATCAGAAATTGAAAAAGACGCTGTTGAGCCACATGCACTGAATTTTGTTGTGCAACGTCACAATCGCAGGAAGTGAAGGGGACAAGAGCAGTGTATTCATCCCAAATGAGCTTGAGACGAGTGAAATAAACGGATACAGATGAGTCGCCTTGAACGAGGGTAGCAATCGACCGATGTAAATAAAAAACCCTAGAACCATCGATCTTGTCAAAGCGCTCCTTAAGGTCCTTCCAAACAGATTCTACGGTCGAGGCAAAAACGATGCCAGCAGAGAGATCGTTGCTGACAGAATTTAGGATCCATGAGAGTACAAGAGCGTTGCAACGCTCCCATTGAGACTGCATCGGACCGTCATAATCATCTCGTCGACAGCTTCCATCGATAAAGCCAAGCTTGTTCTTGGCCAGAAGAGCGATGCGCATGGAACGGCTCCAGAGACTATAGTTTTCAACGCCAGTGAGCTGAAGAGACACCAATTGAACACCATGTGTATCAGAAGGATGCAAGAAGAGTGGGTGATTTAGATCGAGTGTGATCGCCATAAACCCTAAAAGAAAAGGATTTAGGGAAAAGAAACGAAATGAGAAATCTGTTGGAATGAAAAAGATGTTGCTGCTGAAGGGATACGGGCCAAAACGTTTTAGTGAGAAATGGGCCAAACAGAGAACCCAGGAAGGAACGGCCTGGAAACTGATACCATGTTGAAAATTAGAAAAAACTGAGATTGAATAATTCTGCTTGTATTAGAATGAGTATAATACAAGTATATATACAGTTTTAATCTAACTAACTAACTGAAAATTAGTTAGAATTAAAACAGAAAATAAAAAATTTAACTTCTAACAAATTAAAACTCAAATCTAATATTTTAATGTCCTTAAGTAAAGTTAGAAATTTAAATCTTGACGTTTACGAATAGAACAATTAAGTTGGGAGGACCATCATTATATCTGTAATATCCAATTCGAATTACTTGATTAATAAATTAGAAACTGATAGTTATAAAAAAAAACTAATATTTAATGTGAAATTTTGAATACACGTGTGATACGTACTCACATCGACATGATTGAGATTGTACAAGACTATAGACATTGGAATTGAAGAGTTAATACAGTTATTTTGATTTTATATCACTTACCATCACAATTTTGCTTACTGAAAATGTAGAACATGGTAGATTAGCACTCGTGTAAGGGTCATGATAATGGTTGGTTTATTTAATAACATTTTACAATTTCCTTGCAATATTCTGAATATAACTGAGTTTAATTCCACCGGTTTATAAGTATTACGGAATTATGGCCCTTTCATCAAGTGGTTAGAGCATTAACACAAATAATTAGCATCATACGTAATTTAATATTTTATCAATTAACATTCAAATATCATATTTGTCTATAAATATGAACAGAAAAACATCATATTTATGAAAATTATGAAATAATTGAAATTCAACATTTACTATTTAATTATTCAATAGTTATCATCTCTACTTTTTTATTATCTAAAATATCGATTTTTTAAGGATTTCAAGCCTCGCCATTACCCAAAACAACAAGAATTTAAACATAATTGCTAAATGATGTTTTAGGGGGCTTAGTTATCAAAATCAAAAGGAAACATGGTTGAAATAATAATTAAATTTGTAATTACGTATTAAATTAAAAATATTGTAAATTAAGGAGGACTGAAAATGCAATTATTTCAAAGATTCATAAAACACAAATTACCCTATTAAGTTAGGTCAAATCACGGATCAAAATGTTGAAGTAATATCATTTTAACGGACTTGTTATTACTTAAAAATTAAAACGACATTGTTCTGGATCTTTTATATAAATTCACAATATATCTTTTTCCCATTATCGACGACATCATTAAGACATGATATTTCAATATAGCTTCCTTTCAATCTTCTAAACATGTAAGTTTATAATTTCATAAATTATTTAATAAATAATATATATATATTATTTTTCATATTATTTTATATTGTAATGTTATTTAATAAATTATATATAATTTAAAATTATAAAATATAGTTATAATATTATTTTCTAAACAGTTTTTTTAGGATAAAATATTTATGAGAATATAAATAAGTTAAAGAAATGATGGGAAGAGACAATTTGTAAAAAAAAATTAGCGTCAAAAGATCAAATAAAAAACACAACCTTAAACAACGAAATTCTAAGAAGAGTACGTTTGTTGTTAAAAATAAGAATTGGAGTTACATAAGTATTTTATAGCGGTAGAAGAGCATTTGGTTCAAATTTGAACAAAAAAGAACTTAAAATGAATGAGAAATCGAAGAAATAAGGAAATCATGTAAAGTTAAGGGACTAAATTGAAAAAATAAAAATTTTGTTGTCAAAAAAGGAATTGAAGATAAATATGTAATCCATACTGATTTAGGAATACATGATTCGAATTTATAAGAAAATATATTTAAAATAAAGGAAGAATTGAAATGAATACATAAATCAAAACCAAATTGTAAATCTGTTAAATTACTTAGCCAAATGTTCAATTTTTCGATTTACTTGAAATGTTTAAGATCAAAGTTGACTTGAGCAGTATACTCGAAATTTGAGCTAATTTGAATGACTAGAACAACTCAAAATTTTTTCTTAAAAAAGAATTCAAAAAGTTTGAGTCGAATAAAGTTTTATTTCCACATACGAAATCACACAATATGTAGAGCAAAGTTTAAGTATTGAATATTAAAATCCGAGCTTATCCATAATATAAATGAGTCTAATTTTTTGTTTAGGCCTAATTTTGAAATCTAATAATTTTGTTCAAACTCTCTAATTTTAACTAATAATTTGATCCTTAAACAAGTATAATATGATACTTGTTCATTAAATTCAAAGTTATTATTTTTGAATAAAATTATATAAATTTTAAAATCTTTTTTCACTAATTTTAAATAATATTTAAAAAATACAAAACTAATTATAAAATAAACAAAATAAATATTGATTGATTAAAATTATAAATTAAATATATCGAAATAAAAATTAAATAATATTAAACAAAAACCCAAACCAAATATTACGATTTAACTCAACTTTAATTTTTTATCAAAATTTTTACTCGGTCTTAATTGTGTATTTGATAACACCATGCGAGGTGGACCCCAAACGTGTCAGTGACTCAAATCATAACTCCACCGAGTTGAGACAGACTCACTCGCATCCAAAACGGAAGATTCCTTATAATATACCGTTCTTAACCCAATCTTCGCTCGAAACTCGTAACCCCGCTTACGGACAAAGCCACCCCTTTCCTATATAAATCAAGCCATCTTCTTCCCCCTTTCCCCCCACAAATTTTAAATCTCTTGAAACCCATTCCCACTCAAAAAAAAATAATGACTTCTTCCACCCTCTCTGAGTCAGAGCAAGACCATCTCTTGGAGAAACTCGATGTCTTCAAGGTCCAAGGCCGAGATAAACGCGGCCGTAGTGTTCTTCTCATTATCGGCAAGCACTTTCCTGGTAAAGCAAACAACAACATATTGCATGTTTTGTTTTGTAAGTTTTCTGGGAAATTTATTTTTATCTATTTTAATCTGATTGCGTTTTAATTTATTTTGAATGGGGATTAGCTCGGATGGTTAGCTGCGAGGTTTTGAAGAAGTATTTGGAAGAAAAGATTTACCCTAAATTAGAGGAAAAGCGTTTCTCTGTGGTTTATATACATACAGATGTTCAAAGGAGTGAAAATTTCCCTGGAATCTCAGTTCTCAGATCAATCTACGATGCTATTCCGATGAAAGTCAAGAACAATATCCAGGCTGTTTATTTCTTGCATCCCGGTTTACAGTCTCGGCTTTTCCTTGCCACTTTCGGCCGTCTGTTTTTCAATGGAGGGTGAGGATCTCTTTTGTTTATTATAGCATTATTGAATTTCGAATCAAACATGATAAAGCAACCCCAGGCCAACTCTGGTCCCACTTTAACCATTGACGATAATGATAAAACATGATCGTGTCGATAGTGCTTTTTTTGTTTGATTCCCACACTTTTTAGTTGAAGGGGTGGTTTTGATGGTAGATTTGTTTTGAATTATTATATTTGGATTGCAGGTTGTATTCGAAGCTCAAGTATGTGAGTAGGCTTGAATTTCTGTGGGACCATGTGAGGAGGATGGGGATTAAAGTACCTGAGTTTGTGTATGATCACGATGACGAGCTCGAGTACCGTCCGATGATGGATTACGGATTGGAAAGTGACCACCCTCGAGTTTACTCCCGGCCACCCTTGAAGGATCCGGTTTCGGTGTACTCTATGAGGTGCATAGCTTAAGTTTTAATCGAGTGTTTAAAAGCTAAAACTGTAGATTTTTTGTTGATACGTTCATGGCTTTTTTGGGTTGTTAATAGAGGAGCTTTTTAGGTTTTTTGATATTGTACAAAGTGGAAGTTTGTGTAAATAGTCCGACTTCATTGGCTGAGTATCGACTGAGTCGGACCAAAATCTCTCAGGCAACATGGATAAAATCTAACTGTCGAAATGAAAGGGTAAAACAGGGGAAGCCCTTGTTTTTTTAAACAAATTTTAATTATAAACTTGGCCATTTGTTTTTCTAAGGGATAAAGACAGAAGGAGACGATGTATAATGTTTGTATTTGCCAAAATTTCAGAAAGATACAAAAAAAAAGGGCAAATCCTGTCATCTTGATGCCTAAAGTTGTCGTGTTACTATATGCAAGAGCCAAGAGCCCAAAGAATGAAACAATATTATCACGTAAAAGCAGCGATTAGTTGCTCATCACTGTAAGAATTTGCAGATACTGGATCAGATCGAGTTTGGTAATGGTAACCTTCATCTTTAATTTGTTTGCACAAGATCCACAGCCCATAACGTATGACTTTTATCTTAGGATGCATATAGTCTCCGATGACGAAGACGTGAACACAGTCTTTTAGTTCGATCCAGCAATATCAGCTTCTAGACTCTCCACGTTTTGTCTTGCCCAAGGCGATACAGATGCTCGATAGTAAGTCATACGCAGATGATTCTTGGGATCCAAACTCCATGAGTTTCTCTTCGGAATGCAGTGTTCTAGGGTAGCGGATTCAATGAACTCCTTAGCTTCATCGAGCTTTCCTGCACGGTCCAGCATATCTACCATGCAAGCGTAGTGTTTTACTCTAGGAACCATTCTGAACTTATCAGACATCATGTTGAAATAAGCCCGACCTCTTCCCACCAACCCCATGTGGCTACAAGCTGAAAGAATGTTGACAAATGTAACATAATCTGCCTCTGTTACTGTTAAAACTGTTATGAACACAGTTCAAAAACCAGAAATAAAAGGAGAGAAAGTAAAGGGAAAAACAGAATGTAGGCTAATCGAAAAATCTATTTAGCCTTGATCCGAAGATCTATTAATATAGCCACGCTGGTTGCTGAGTTACCACTGTGAGATTAACCCAATATACAGCTGGCTTAACCACCTAACAACCTTAACAGAAAGCAGTTATAAAATGCAGCAACAAACCAATCCAGTTGGCACACCTTCCTGCTGAAACTTACTCTCCAACATTCACCCTGCTTTTCAACTTCTTCAAGCATAAAGAACCTCAACATTTGTGCAACTGAAGTCTTTGCAATGAGAACACATTGAGCTTTTGGCATAATTCCTGAAACCGAGTTGTAATTAACGGCTTTGTCAACACATCTGCAATTTGATAGTGTGCTGGAACATAATTGACGACAAGTTGTTTGTCCGTGACCTTTTCCCTAACAAAGTGAACATCTAAGTCCACATGTTTAACTTTAGCATGCAAGACTGGATTAGCAGCCATGGCAACAGTTAAAACTGTTATGAACACAGTTCAAAAACCAGAAATAAAAGGAGAGAAAGTAAAGGGAAAAACAGAATGTAGGCTAATCGAAAAATCTATTTAGCCTTGATCCGAAGATCTATTAATATAGCCACGCTGGTTGCTGAGTTACCACTGTGAGATTAACCCAATATACAGCTGGCTTAACCACCTAACAACCTTAACAGAAAGCAGTTATAAAATGCAGCAACAAACCAATCCAGTTGGCACACCTTCCTGCTGAAACTTACTCTCCAACAGTTACTTCCAGTAGCATCTCGTCTAAAAGTCTGAGATCTTCATTTCCATGCCCATTCTGAGCAAGCCCTGATATCATCGCATTCCATGACACTGTATCTTTCCATGGCATCCTTCTAAAGACTTGGCTCCAAGCCTCCCATCTTCAAGCCTCCCACACTTTGCATACATGGTTGAAAGAGCACTTCCCATTGGTACTTTGAAACCAAAGACGAGCTTAATGGTACATGCATGGACTTTCTTTCCTTGTTCCAACGCAGCAAGAGACGAACTAGCTTTTAGAATAGTGGCCATTGTGAGCTCATTCGGTATATTCCCCTTGATCCGCATTCTACCATACAAAATTCATTGCATTTTCGATCTCCCCATTTTGCACGTATCCTTCAAACACGGAACTCCATAAAACCATATCAGAATGTATTAAATCATCAAACACCTTCCGAGCATCTAACATACTACCACATTTTGCATACATATGTACCAAAGCCGTCATTATGTATACTTGCTATTCTTATCCCAATTTCAACAGGTAACCATGCACTTGCTTTCCTTCTTCAGCGGCAGGTATATAATCACTACAAGCATTAAGAACCCCTACAAGAGTAAATTCGCTAGGTATGATTTCGGCGAAATGCATATCCAATAACAACATGAGAGCCTTTAAGGACTTCCCACTTTGTGAATAACCAGTGATTATCACCGACCATGTAATCAAATTCTTATTGCCCGATAATTGAAATGCCTTAAGTGCGTCATCCAAGCTCCAACATTTACCATACATTGTAACAAGAGTGTTAATAGAGACAAACACCAATAACCCGTTTCTGATAGCAAGGCAATGTATTTCCTTACCGGTGACAAGAAGCTCGAGATCCGCCAATGCGCTAAGTGTTAGAGTATTGTTCTAGATGTGGTAGTTAGTTAGTTGACTGTTGGCTAGTTTGTTGTAACAGATTTCTATTCAGTTGGGCTAATTAGTTAAGCCTTGATTGTTGTATATGTAGTGGGCCAGTCTACTATCCCAGACCAATGAATGTAATTCTTCTGTAAGCCTTTTGTATGTTCAGCTGTTATTGACTTTAGTCAATCTTTTCAGTTATCTTCAACCTTGATTCTCCCATTCTCTCTTAATCAACCTTTGCTAGTTTACTGTATCCCAACTTGATCGTTTCTTGTCATGGTATCATTCGCCAAAGTTCCTGCGGCCTTTTGACTTCCGTCCTTCTTCAATTTTGTTGTTGCATCATCGCTTGCCCTAATAGTACAAATTGATGCAAATTGCCCGTTGACATCTTTCGGCTTCTTGACAAAGTGGATTTTCGTCTTTGCTTTGTTCTCAGGTTGATTTGTCGCATCTTCTCCACTCTAGTTGCTCTTCGATTCTTGATTGATTCGTCGCTTTTTCTTCGCTCTTCGGTGGATCTTCGATTCTGGTGAGATCGTTTTTATTTTTCATTGGCTTAATATTCTGCATTCAGTTCCTTCTTGATTTCTAGTTGAAAGCTTGTGTTTAGACTTCTATCTGTATTGCGTTCTGTATGGCAAACATTGTGGATGAAAGTATTCTAAATGCTACTGGTAGTTCTGCTTCTGCTGCCTCTAATAGACTGTTTTCTACTAAGAAGATTAACGTCACTCTAGATGATCACAATTATCTGATATGGCATCAAAAAATCTTTCTTACTATTAAAACGCATAGACTTCAGAAGTATATAGATTTTAACGTTTCATGGCCTACACAGTATGTTACTTCAGATGGTGTAGTTAGTTTGAACCATGAGTATAAGCTTTATGAGGAGCAAGATGGAGCTCTTGCTTCGTGGTTTCTCTCTACTATTAGTGAGGAAGTTTTGCCTCATCTCATAGGTCTCAATACGCAGCTGAAATCTAGAGTACATTGCATAGGTTATACAATGGTATGACTACTTCTAGGTTAATGTCCTATAGGAGAATGCTTCATTCTCAGAGGAAGGGAGAGCTGAGTATGAGAGATTACTTGATGAAAATCAAGTATGTTTATGACAATCTAGCTAGCTGTGGAGAGATAATATCATAACATGAACATATCAGAACATGAACATATCACTGCTATTTTGAATGGATTGCCACATGAGTTTGAATCAGTTATCACTGTTATAATTGCTACTCCCACTCCTCCAGATTTAAGATCTGTTAGCACTATATTACTGGATGCTAACACTAGACAGTCACATTCTTTTAATCATGTCACAGCTTGTGCTCATGTTACTGCTCAAGCTACAAATGATCAAGTGGTCTCTAATAATATGTCACAGTCTGAATATCAAAATAAGGGTGAATTTGTTGATAATTCAGGTAAAAACTTCAATAATAACATCAATAATAACATCAATAATAGGGGTAGAGGTTGAGAGTGATTTTCATCATATAGACCACGGTGTCAATTGTGTGGCAGAATGGGACATCTTATTGAAAGATGCTATTATATGTTTGATATGAGCTACAAGAATGAATCATCTCGCCCTACACAGAATAATAATAATAAAGGTTATTCCAATGTTCAAGCCAATGTCAGCTCTTATAATTCAAGCAATGACAACTTCACCCCTTATAATTCCTCTTATAACTCGATGTATTATGCTCCTTCACCCTTGATAACAACCCCTCAAGGTTTTGTTTTTCGTCCACAGACTTTTCCTTTTAATGTTCATCATCAGGTCTACTCAAATCCTTACAATATGTCCTCATTTCCTTCTGGAAATCCATCTCAGTCCACTACTGCTACTCATGTCACATCTCAATCTTATATAGCTACACCTAAAACTGTGGATGATAATGTTTGGTATCTAGATTCTGGAGTAACACATCATATAACTAAAGATTTTAGCAACTTGTAGGTTAAAGACACTCACCCTGGAACATGTAGTGTGATTGTTGGTAATGGTAGTTCTCTACCAATACATAGTACCAGTCAATCTTTTTTTTGTGCTAATTCCAATAGGTTTCAATTAAATAAGTTATTGTATGTTCCTAATATTACTAAAAATATGTTATCTGTTTCCAAATTCACTCAGGATAATCAAGTTTTGCTTGAATTTTATCTTAATTTTTGTCAAGTTCGTGACCTGCATACCCAGAAAATTCTATTAAAAGGGAGTGAAGATGGAGGAATGTACAAATTCAATATTGCCATGAATAATTCTGTTGATAATGACAGTTGCTTGCTTACTGGTGATGGGGTTCATGTTAATAATTCTGCTCGTAATTCTTTGTCTTCAATAAGATGTCGTATTGTAAATGCTAGAATGTCTATAGACATATGCCACAAAAGGCTTGGCCATCCTTCTAAAGAAGTTTTACTTTCTGCACTAAAACACTACAATGTAATT